TGGACATACCGCGCAGTGCACCGCCTGCGACGCCAATATCTCGAGAGTCCAGACTACCAAAACAGCCTCCATGCCCGGACCTTGATGATCACCGACATTAGCCGTAGCTTTCGCAGTGACCAAGGTATCATTGAGATTGTGGATACGCTCAAGACGACCCCCGACGTGCCCCGCGTATCCATTGGACGAAACGTAAAGGATGTTCCCGACCTAATCGAGGAGCATGAGGAGGCGGTTGTGGAACTTGAGAATGTCCTGGCAAAGTACTTGAAGAACCCAGCTCAGCTGCCGGCCGAGCGCCCCCTGTGCACTCCGCACAAAAAAGACCCAGAGTTTATGGGCAAGAAACAAAAGGTGGACGCCATCGACTATCTCACAGCTCGCATCCAACGACTCGAGACTCAGATCAAGGAAGTTCGCGAGTCAATCGATAAGCGCGACGCTCTTCCATATGGTTTCGCTAGTTACGAAAACATCACTTCAGCCCACACGGTAGCATTCAATGCCCGCAGCAAGCATGTCAAAGGAACCACGGTCCGCCTTGCGCCAAAGCCAAAAGACATCATCTGGAAGAATCTGACTCTGGATCCAAAGACGCGGCGGTGGAGGAAAACTGTAAACAACTTCTGGATTACGCTCCTGACACTGCTCTACTTTATCCCCAACGCCCTTATTGCCGTCTTCTTGTCAAAGCTCTCCAACTTGGGTTTTGTATGGCCAACTTTCCAGGTCGAGCTGGCCCGACATGCCGACTTTTGGGCCGTGGTACAAGGTCTCGCTGCCCCGGCTCTAACCTCTCTCTTCTACTACTTTCTGCCCATCATTTTCCGCCGCCTCTCAATCAAGTCCGGAGACCAAACCAAAACAAGTCGTGAACGCCACGTGACGGCACAACTGTACGCCTTTTTTGTCTTCAACAACCTCTTTGTCTTTTCCCTCTTCAGCGCCGTCTTTGGCATGATTGTCATGATTGTCAATCTCGCAACCAAGCAAAACGTGCCGTTTACGGACATTCTGCGCTCCATTGCCTTTTTCGATACCACGATGCGCACCCTCTGCGAAGTCTCGCCTTTTTGGGTCACCTGGCTCGTCCAACGTAATTTGGGTGCGGCCATCGATCTGGCCCAGGCTGTGAACTTGGCTTGGGGCAGTTTCTCGCGCAAGTTTTTGAACCCCACTCCTAGGGATCTGATCAACCGGACTGCGCCACCGCCATTTGATTACGCAAGTTACTACAACTACTTTTTGTTTTACTCGACCGTCGCTTTCTGCTTTGCGCCCTTGCAGCCCGTCACGCTCGTTATTGTCGCAATCTACTTTTCTCTCGACAGTTGGATGAAGAAGTACCTTCTCATGTAAGTACACGTCATTGTTTTTAGTTTGAGTGCCGACTGATCATATATACCCAGGTACGTTTTCTGTACAAAGAACGAGTCCGGAGGTGCATTTTGGCGTCTTCTTTTCAACCGTATGCTCGTTGGCATTTTTCTCTCCAACTGCATTGTTGCACTTTTGGTTACTGCTCGTGGAGCGAACTTCAAATGGCACATGCTCGCCGCTTTGGCTCCTCTTCCTCTGGGATTGATTGCATTCAAGTTTTACTGCAAAAACACCTTTGATAACTCGCTCAAGTACTACACTCAGGGTGATAATAAGAAGGGTGTTGAAGCACCTACGCCAATTGACAAGGAGTCGAGGAAGAGGGATCGTGTTGCTGTGAGGTTTGGGTACGTCAATCCTATCGTTCCAACTGCCCGTTTGTGTGCTACAATCGTGGTGTGTGTATTTTCAAGTTTTACTAACGGCATACCAGTCACCCGGCTCTCTACCAGAAACTCACCGTCCCCATGGTCAACGAAAAGTCAAAACACCTACTTGCCGAAATCTACCGCGGCCGTCTAGACGGCGACATTGGCGACACAGCCGCCTTCAGCGATGTCTACACCATGAAGCGCATGTCCAAAGAAAACCCCGGCAAAATGGCATCGGGCGCCGCAGCCCCCGCCCCCTTTGAATTTGTGTCCGAATCCAACATGGACTTTGAAAACTACAAGAACCGACCCGAATTCAGCGACGAGCACGGCGGCGAGGGATCCATCTACGGTGGTGAATCCAGCACCCACCGTCCCGACACGCCTAATTCCCACTTTGGCGGTGCCGTCGACCGCGGCCGCTCCCACTCGCGCGACTCGGACCGCACATTCGGCGGTGCCGAAGAAGCAGGCGTCTCGTACCCCGCTGGCTACCACCAAACCCCCTCGGCACTCCGAGAGTACAGCCCGAGTCCTGACCCGGGGCTCGGCATGCGCAGATTAGATAGCACGGATAGTCCGTATGAGGTTCCTGAGGATGAGGGCAGGAGGAATTTAGTGAATAGTGCTGCGCCCATGGGTGCGGCTAGAGCGCCCGTGGCTGCGGCGCCGCGACAACAACAGTATACGCCGTATAGTCCTAGTAGGGATGGGGCGGGGCAACAGGATTATTTTAGTAGGTAATGAGGGGGGTGGGGTGGTAGACTTGATGAATTTTGTGCATAGCGAGAGGGGGGGTTTTTTTTGGTTGGTGTTTTGGGCTTTTTTTCTCAAGCATGAAAATTAGGGGTTTGGGGGGGGTGGGAGGATATTTAATTCCTACAATTACTTGATGGTTGTATATGCAGAAGAGATCATGTCATATTAAGAGAGAGAGAGAAAGAGAGAAAAAGACAACTTGTGGTATGAGTCAATACTGGTAAATCGAATATCAGGAGAGAAAAAAATTAAGTTTTTTTTTTTCAACTGGAATTCTTGTTTTTTTTTGGGGGGGGGGGATTCTCAACTTGAAAAGAGAACAGAATCTCTGTTTCATCTCTGAAGTGCAAATGTTCCTGACTAACCCTTATAAAGCTGTGGCTGGCTGGCTGGCTGGCTGGCTGGTTGAACTTGCGGGGAAGGAGTTTTATCGTGCCCGTTGTTTTTCGTTTGTGTGTGTGTGTGTGTGTGTGTGTGTGTGTGTGTAAGATTTTTTTTCTGTTCCCAAGGTCCAAATAGTATATTAGAATCAGAGACGAGAAAAATTC